GCCTGGTTCAGTGGGAATAGCAAGAGAGAAAAGGGAGTCCTCCGTCCCTCCACCCCGCCTGAAGGAGTTCCAAGACTGCTTCAGGCTTCTGACCAGGAAACTTGCTTGAAAGATAATTTACCTGACCTTGATATATTTTAAAACACAAAGGGCAGAATCTTAGCAGAAATTGGGATAGGAAGCAGTGGAATAAGGTGCGATTTCTGGGGATTTGATTTTAAAGTAAATAGCATTCAAAACACAAAGAAAGTAGTAAGCAACTCACTTAAACCCTTTTATGTCAAGTAGCTAATCCATCCTATAACCCAAAAACTGGTTGCAGACTAAAGAGGTAAGAATAATAAAGGTGAATGAAGTAATCCCCAAGATTATTTGTGATGATCCTGAATTGCTTGTCTTGTTCCTTTTTACTACTCCACCCACGATCCTAATTCTTTAGGTTTCTAACCTAATGAATCAACTTCCTGTTTCAGTTTTGCCTCACCCTATCCCTCAGGCCTTTCACTTCTTTCCTTGTTTAGGATTGCACTCCACTCTCAATTACCCTACCTTCAGCCACCTGGAGTAGACAGACTGCCTACCTAGTTCCTCAGCACACACATCCTCTCAATAAATCTCTAGGTTTACCCTGTTTCCATGAATGTGACTTGGAGACAGACATGCATGTTAGATGGCACACCCCAGTAAATCCTGGAATTAACAAAGATGACTGGGTAAGCGAAGGAGGAGCCAAGAACCAAATTCTGAATGCAAGAGACTATAATATGCAAAAAAAAAAAAAAAACAGGAAAAAAATCATAGATTGATAAGTGCTATGCAAAGAATTAAAATAAGCTGTAGCACAGTGGATTAAGCCACCACTTAGGAGATTATTGCATCTCATCTGAAGTACCAGCTCTACTCCTAACGACTTTGCACTTCTGGCAATATTCATGGGAAGAGGCAGATGATGCCACTCATGTGGGAGACCTGCATAGAAGTCCCGGTTTCTGGCTTCAGGCTGGTCCAGCTCAGGCTGTTATAGCCAGTAGGGGAGTAAACCAGAAAACAGAAGATCATACTTGTCAATCTGTCCATCTCCATCTGTCTCTCTTCTGTCATTATACCTTTCAAAAAAATAAATCCTCTTCCTTTACCTCTCTTTCTCCCTTAACTCTCTTTCAAATAAGTAAATCTTAGAAAAAGGCAGTGGGGAAATCAGGGATCCGGTGACTGTGCTAATCAACACAAACCTCTGAGAAAAGCTGGCTGAAGTTATAGGAAAAGCTGGAGTGAGGGAATAGGGGTGGGGTCAGAGAGGCAAAGTCAGGGGGAAGGGGTAAACTCAAGAAATAGCTACTTGCATTGGTAAAGATTCCAAGTACGTTGCATTAATATGGTATAAACCAGGCTTCCAGCAAAAGATGGGTAATCTGCATTCTGTGAAGAGCGGGTTTGTGGTGGGGTGGGGATGTGTCACAAAAAGCTAGAGGAACCCCATCATAAAGCACCAATTCCAGGAGGCACAGCACAAAGGATGAGCAGCTGAAGAGCAGGAGGAAGCTAGAAAGGAGATTGTACAAACAAGGAGAGAAGAAGCTGAGATAAAGCCTTTCCTGCTTCAGCAACACGATCACGAGCAACTCTGATGACTGTGTTCCTAACTTTCAACTTCATGCAGATGGAAAACAATGTATTTGGTTGTGTTTTCCTGGTAACCCAAAGCGATGACTGTCCAGACCTTACCCAACAGCTGATTCACCATCAATTAGTCTCTATGACAGCCTGCTGGGCCTCACACCTCACGTAGTCACATGCCACACAACTCTGGAAAGAAAACAATCCAATGTGAGCTGTCAAAGTCCTCTCCACACCTGACCTCACCCTCTGCAGCAGGTTTCATATCAAAACTGAAAGGAACTACAGGCAGGGAAAATCCAAAGATCAACAAATCCAGAACAGGTGGTTCCCAGCAGAAAAGGGTCCCAGTTTGGAACATAAAACAGAAACCAGACCACTGATAAGACATAGCTTATGATATCTGTCTCCAAGCTTTCAGATGCTATTCACCTTGTTTATGGTTTCCAATATTAACAACAGGGCATGACCAAACTTAACCATATCCAGCCCTATTAAACACCTAGTTTTCCAAGTACTCAAACAACTTTCTTGTTATCAAACTCCGATCAGAGGTGGAGACCTTCTTCTGTCAGTGGCCCTGTGTATATTTAGAATATCATTCCTGAACAACTCAAAATTATCAACATGAAAATCAGCCTGGAGTAGATTTACTGAACTTTGACTCCTGCCAGTGGTTGCTTTGGCAGTGCCAGACCAAATGATTTCACAAAGCTGGTAGTCTACAGGTCAGGTGTTCACCACCATTTAATAATTTTGGGGTAGATTTAGTAAGTTAAAACCTTAAGGGCCCAGGCCCAGCACAGTGGCGTAGCGGCTAAGGTCCTTCCCTTGCATGCACTGGGGTCCCATGTGGACACTGGTTCTAATTCTGGCAGCCCCATGTCCTATCCAGCTCCCTGCTTGTGGCGTGGGAAAGCAGTCGAGGATGTTCCAAGGCTTTGGGACCTTGCACCCAAATGGGAGACCCAGAAGGGGCTCTGGGCTCCTGGCTTCAGATCAGCGGAGCAGTGGCTATTGTGGCCACTTGGGGAGTGAATTAATGGATGGGAGATCTTCCTCTGTCTCTCCTCCTCTCTGTATATCTGACTTTCCAATAAAAATAAATCATTAAAAAGAAAGAAAAAAAAACTTAAGGGCCTAACGTGGTAATCTAGTGGCTAAAACTACTCACGTTGCATATGCCAGGATCCCATATGAACAGCAGTTTGTGTCTTGGCTGCTCCACTTTCATTCATCCAGCTCCCTGCTTGTGGCCTGGAAAAGCAGTAGAAGCTGGCCCAAAGCCTTGGGACCCTGCATCTTCATGGGAGACCCAGAAGCAGCTTCTGGCATGTTGGCTACAGATTGGCTCAGTTCCAACCATTGTGGCCACTTGGGGAGTGAACCAGTGGATGGAAAATTTTCTCTGTCTCTCCTTCTCTCTGTAAATCTTCCTTTCCAATAGAAATAAATAAATCTTACCAAAAAAATGTAAAGACTAGGAATTAACTAAGGTTAATACTTTAGTTCTTTGAATAAGGCCACATTTTATTTGTAATGAATATAGCAACTCCTCATTTTCAACTCCCTATAAACTCTTGGCAAAAAAAAAAAAATAACTAATTTTTTATAACTTCATTTGGGTCTCACATACAGGTGATGGGCCCAGTGACTTGGGGCATCCACTGCTGCTTTCTCAGTTGCCTCAGCAGAACAGCCGGGACGTGGCTCTCAGGGGAAGCTGGCATCACAAGCAGCAGCTTAGCTGCTGCAACATAACACTGCCTTTGGCAAAACTGCTTTTAAAAATATCTAACTTGGGGCCCGGCAGCGTGGCCTAGCAGCTAAAGTCCTCACCTTGAACGCGCTGGGATCCCATATGGTGTCGGTTCTAATCCCGGCAGCTCCGCATCCCATCCAGCTCCCTGCTTGTGGCCTGGGAAAGCAGTCGAGGATGGCCCAAAGCCTTGGGACCCCGTACACATGTGGGAGACCCGGAAGAGCTCCAAGCTCCCAATTTGGATCAGCATCGGATGGAAGATCTTTCTCTGTGTCTCTCCTCCTCTCTGTATATCTGACTTTGCAATAAAAATAAAATAAATCTTTAAAAAAAAATTCCAAGCTTGAGGCCAATTCTGTGGCATAGCAGTAAAACCGCCACCTGCGATACCAGTATTCCATATGGGTGCTGGTTTAAGTCCCAGCTGCTCCACTTTTTTTTAAAGATTTAGTTTGTTTTTATTGCAAAGTCAGATATACAGAGAGGAGATCCCATATGGGCACTGGTTCATGTCCCAGCAGCTCCACTTCCCATTCAGCTCCCTGCTTGTGGCCTGGGAAAGCAGTCAAGGATGGCCCAAAGCTTTGGTTCCCTGAACCCGCATGGGAGACCCGGAGGAAGCTCCTGGCTCCTGGCTATGGATCTGCTCAGCTCCAGCCGTTAGAGTCACTTGGGTGTGAATCGGCAGACAGAAGATCTTCCTCCATCTCTTCTCCTCTCTGTGTATCTCATTCTCCAATAAAAATAAATCAATCTTTTTTTAAAAATCCTAAATGGAACCAAGACATTAATACATGGATATTTTATTAAAATTGGACCAATAGACAGGAAGTATTACTCATTCCAATTCTTCCAGGAAAGCAACTCAAAAACAAAAACAAAAAAATTCCCCAGCAAAATGACTAATTAAAATTGGGGCATAGTGAGCCTGGCGCAATTGCCTACCAGCTAAAGTCCTTGTCTTGCACATACTGGAATTCCATATGGGTGCCAGTTCTAATCCTGGGAATCCCATTTCCCATTCAGCTTCCTGCTTGTGGCCTAGAAAAAGCAGCCGAGTTTGGGCCCGACGTCATGGTCTAGCGGCTAAAATCCTCGCCTTGAACGCACCAGAATCCCATATGGACACCGGTTCTAATCCCAGTAGCCCCAAATCCCATCCAGCTCCCTGCTTGTGACCTGGAAAAGCAGTTGAGGACGGCCCAAAGCTTTGGGATCCTACACCCACGTGGGAGACCTGGAAGAGGTTCCTGGTTCCTGGCTTCAGATTTGTGCAGCACCGGCCACTGTAGTCACTTGGGGAGCGAATCATCAGACGGAAGATCTTCCTGTCTCTCCTCCTCTCTGTATATCTGACTTTCCAATAAATAAATAAATCTTAAAAAAAAAAACAGTCGAAGTTGGCCCAAAGCCTTGGGACCCTCACCCGTGTCGGAAACCTGGAAGAAGCTCCTGGCTCCTGGCTTTGGATCAGCTAAGCTCTAGCCAATATGACCACTTGGAGAGTGAATCATCGGATGGAAGAATTTCCTCTCTGTATTGTACTTTGCAGTAACAATAAATAAGTCTTTTTTAAAAATTTGAAGTATGGAAACAAAATATACAAGAAACACATGCTTTCCTTTCCATTAAAAAAAAGAAAAACTTTTAATGAAGTTGGACCAGATGACTTCTGATGGCCTTTTCAAACAATTCTGTATATAAGTCTCTGGACGTCTGAGTTCATGAGTTGGTACATCACCTAGTGGTGTAATGAGGAAAATGCAGTTCTTCAAGTTCCCGGATAATCTTCCAGCCATTTTGTAAGCTCTGACAATGTGCAGGCCAGAAGTCCCCCTCTAAGAAATTACAAGTATAAGAGACTGCAACTCCAGTTCCACATTCACATGCAATTGTACACCCATTCATTCTCAAAGTATGTGGGAAAGATCCACTTCGTGCCTTAATAATCCTAACAACTGAAGCACAGTTTTGTTACTGTGTATTTTTTTTTAAAGATTTATTTTTATTATTTTTTATTGGAAAGGCGGATATACAGAGAGGAAGATCTTCCGTCCGATGATTCACTCCCCAAGTGAGCGCAACGGCCGATGCTATGCCGATCCGAAGCCAGGAGCCTCTTCCGGGTCTCCCATGTGGGGTACAGGTTCCCAAAGCTTTGGGCCGTCCTCAACTGCTTTCCCGGGCCACAGGCAGGGAGCTGGAAGGGAAGCAGGGCTGCCAGGATTAGAATCGGCGCCCATATGGGATCCCGGGCGTGCAAGGCGAGGACCTTAACCACTGCGCCACCGCGCCGGGCCCGTTACTGTGTATTTGTAAAACACTGAGAAGCGAAGAATGTTTCTGTACACAAATTGGAATGGAAAGCAGGTTCAGATATTATGACAAAATTGCAAATACAGCTTATAAATAGGAAGGCTCACAAGACTGGTATACAGAAAATGGATTATATTTACACTGTGTGATTTTGAGAGACTGGCTTAATAAGATGTTTCAACTAGATTTCAATTAAAAACAGAGGTAACTTTCTATCACTAAGGGCTATCAAACAATAAAATAATGTTCTCAAGATGTGATGAACATGTCATCAATGGAAATACTCAGATAGAACTTGAATGATCCCTTGTCAGGGGAACAACAAAACATTTCTTAACAGGATGGCAGAATGAAGGCCAGGAAGACTATTAAATCAGCTCACTGGCTTTTTCCAGCTCTAACAGTCAAACATTCAGAGGTCAGCACTGCGGCATACCAAGGTAAAGCTGCTGCCTATAGTGTTGGCATCCCATATGGGCATCAATTTGAGTCCTGGCTATTCTACTTCTGCTCCAACTCTCTGCTAATGAGTCTGGGAAAGCAGTAAAAGATGCCCCAGTCCTTGGGCTCCTGCTCCCATGTAGAGGACCCAAAGGAAGCTCCTGGCTCCCAGCTTTGAATCAGCTCTGCTCTAGCTATTGTAGCCATTCAGGAAGTGAACCAGTGGGTGGAAGATCTTTCTGCCTCTCCTTTTTTCTGTAACACTGCCTTTCAAGTAAATAAATGAATCTTTATTTTTTTAAAAAAAGGGGCAGGCACTGTAGGAGAATGTTAAACTCAGAAGTTAAAACTTCTCTGTCCAGGGCTGGCAGGGTAGCCTAGCAGCTAAAGTCCTTGTCTTCAATGCAGTAGGATCCAATACGGTCACCAGTTCTAATCCCAGCAGCCCCGCTTCCCATCTAGCTCCCTGCTTATGACATGGGCAAGCACTCAAGGATGGTCCAAGAGCTTTTTTTTTATTTAATTTTTTTTTAAATATGTTTATCTTTAATGATTCAAGGTTCTGCAAGACACACTGATAGACCCAGAATTGGGTGGAACACAGCATCTCAGTGGTGCTGCTGCCAGCCTAGGGGCCAGATGCTGCCGGAAGGACCCCATGGTGCCAATCCCCTAGGAACATCAGCACCCTATTTAATTATTATAAACATTATTATTATAATAATTTTAATATATTATAATTATATTATAATAAATATTATATTATAATAAATATTTATATTATTATAAATATTATATATATTATATATCATATTATATAATAATTTTAATATATTATAATAAACATTATTATTATTTTATTTTAGAGAAAATATTTTCAAAGATTTATTTTTTATTATTTTTTTATTGGAAAGGCGGATATACAGAGAGGAGAGACAGAGAGGAAGATCTTCCGTCCGATGATTCACTCCCCAAGTGAGCGCAACGGGCCGATACTATGCCGATCCAAAGCCAGGAACCTCTTCCGGGTCTCCCACGCGGGTGCAGGGTCCCAAAGCCTTGGGCCGTCCTCGACTGCCCTCCCAGGCCACAGGCAGGGAGCTGGAAGGGAAGCGGGGCTGCCGGGACCAGAACCGGCGCCCATATGGGATCCCGGGCATGCAAGGCGAGGACCTTAACCACTGCGCCACCGCGCCAGGCCCGGTCCAAGAGCTTTGGACCCTGTACCTGCAAGGGAGACCCAGAAGTTATTCCAGGCTCCTGGCTTCAGATCGGCTCAGCTCCAGCCATTGCGATCACTTGAGGAATGAATCATCAGACGGAAGATCTTCGTCTCCATCTCTCTTCCTCTGTGTATAACTGACTTTCCAATAAAAATAAATAAATCTTTAAAACAAAATCAATCATAAAATTAAATACAAAATACAAGGAATAAAAAGAGCTGGGTTTGAGGTTCAGCTCTAGCTCCTGAAGACAGCGTTCCACCTTTGAAAAGCAGACAGTGGCAATGATTTAAATGATGGGCTCCTGCTGCCTTATGGCTGATCCTAGCTTCAGCAAACCAAATCCTGGCTGCTGCTATAGAGTGAACCAACAGACAGGAACTCTTTCCCTGTTTCAAATAAATAAATAAAAACAAAACATAACAATAAAAGAAAGAGTGTATCATCATCCTAAGTAAAACACAAACAATAGTACTTAAAGGATCTTCCTCCTATTTTCACCCAGAAAGAACAACCTAGTAGCCAAAAGTATGTTTGACAGTACATTCTACTTGAGTATACATGCACAAGTTATTTGTTTCAATTTACCTCAAGCTCATTATTTGTAAATTTACAATTAGCTATCTCATCTCAAAAAATTACAGTGGGGCCTGGTGTGGTAGCCTAGCAGCTAAAGTCTCGCTTTGCATGCACTGGGATCCCATATGGGTGCTGGTTCTAATCCCGGCAGACCCGCTTCTCATTCAGCTGCCTGCTTGTGGCCTAGGAAAGCAGTCGAGAAAGGCCCAAAGTCTTGTGACGCTGCACCCGTGTGGAAGACCCAGAGGAGGCTCCTGGCTTCTGGCTTCAGATTGGCTCAGCTCTGGCCATTTTGGCCACTTTGGGAGTGAATCACCAGACAAAAGATCTTCCTACCTGTCTCTCCTCCTCTCTGTATACTTTACTTTCCAATAAAAATAAATCTCAAAAAAAAAAAAAAGATGACACTGCATGCTAAATGGTAAATGAGTTTGCTAAGTACTAAAACAGGACATGGTATATAAAAGTGTTCAAGTGGGAAGGGAACGGAGAGGTGTGGAGGGCAAGGAGGAGGTAGAAAATAAGCCCTAAGCGGGCTGTCTGCTTTGGTCACTGTACTGAAGTCTCAACCAAAGCATTCCTGTCTGTTGCTGGTCAGAGACTGAGTTCCCTTGACAACCAGCATCAAGAGCAAGCCCAACTCGGCCTTCTCCAGGAAGCAGCTCAGCCCTGACTCTGGGATTGGGCAGCCTGCACAAAGCACACACCTGTATATCTTACAAACACCACTGCCTCAAGTGAAGGAGCTGAGGAGGTGTCACTTTCCTTAGTCTCTATGAGCAATCACAGAACATCAGAGTTTGACAGGAACTCAGAACAATCTAGAACAATCCCTTTGTTTAATGACTGAGGACTAAAAAGCTAAGAAAGGCCCTGGCACAATGGCCTAGTGGCTAAATTCTCACCTTGCATGCGCCAGGATCCCATAGGGCACCAATTTGTGTTCCAGCTGCTCTACTTCCCATCCAGCTCCCTGTTTGTAGACTGGGAAACAGTTGCGGTCGGCCCAAAGCCTTGAGATCCTGCACCTGCGTGGGAGACCAGGAAGAAGTATCTGGCTCCTGGCTTCAGATGAGATCAGCTCTGGTCATTCCAACCATTTGTGGAGTGAACCAGCAGCTGGAAGATCTTTCTATCTGTCTTTCTCTCTGTAAATCGGATCTCCTTTTCCAATAAAATAAATGTTTTTTAAAATCTTATAAAAGAAAAGATCAAGAAACAAGAAATGCAGGATCTAACAAGTTAGTGACAGGATCAAGACAAGCTCATAAGCCTCCTTATCTCTAGCCCATTATTCGATAATTCTTCACATCTTTCAGGTAGGAAAAATAAAACTGACCCTACTAACCTCTTTTTTTAATATTTAATTATTTTTATTACAAAGTCATATATAGAGAGAGGAGGAGAGACAGAGAGGGAGATCTTCCATCCGCTGACTCATTCCCCAAGTAACTGTAACAGATGGAGCTGCACCAATCTGAAGCCAGGAGCCCAGAACTTCTTCCGCAGGCACAGGGTCCCAAGGCTTTCGGTCATCCTTGACCGCTTTCCCAGGCCTCAAGCAGGGAGCTGGATGGGAAGTGGAGCCATCAGAACCAGAACCAGCGCCTATATGGGCTCCTGGCGCATTCAAGGCAAGAACTTTAGCCACTAGGCCACTGCGCTGGGGCCCTCTACTATTCTCTTAAGACAATTTAGGATCTGGCAAAACAACCTAGTGATTAAATCCTCACCTTGCATGTCCTGCAATCCCACATGAACACCAGCTTGTGTCCTGGCTGCTCCACTTCAGATTGGCTTCAGATTGGCCCACCTCCAGTCATTGCGGCCACCTGGCAAGTGGATCACTCCATGGAAACCTGTCTGTCCTCTGTAAATCTGATTTGTCTTTCCAATAAAAACAAATAAATATTTTAAAAATAAAAGATACTTTAAGTATTAAAGAAACCATGTAAAGTACATGACAATATAAAAGGTTCTCAACGGATACTACCCTGTTTCTCTCTCCTTCTCTGTATTTCTAACTTTACAATAAACAAAACAAAACTTAAAAAAAAATATTCCAACTATTATGAAATCCATATTCTGAGGGGTAAAAATAATAAACTATAGTAGAGAGTCCCTACAAAAATGCCTAGCACAAATTAGGCACAACTCAGCAAGCAGCAGCTAAATAACAAATAAATCAACAAATAATACATCAAGTAGAAGTGTCATGGGGAGGAGTAGGGAAATAAAGCAGAGATGAAAAACAGGAAATACAGAGACAAGCCTTTATT